TAGGAATTTAGTATAGCTTTAGTAAATTATCTCCATTTGATGAGGCTGAGTAGCAGAAAGAATACAATCTTTCAAGATCATTGATTAAGGATGTGATATTTAATTTCCACAAATTGCCCATATTCATGTAATATTTTTTTCTTTGTAAAAATGGATAATTTACTAGTAAAACTGTTGTTAGGCTAGTCCAATACTTAGGTATATATTTTTATTAAGAATATATGATAGATCGAGTCGCTTAATGGTTAGACTGCTTTCACTCAGACAATTTTTCATATAGATCTAATATATATCAAAATGTTACTGTACTTCTTGAACGCATTGCAATTTTTTGTTCAATATATATAATAATACTTGGAATCAGTTTTGAGCTGATAATAGTCATAATACTGTTATTGAGAGGAGACGCGTGTATGAAAAGCGGCAAGTAAAATTGCCGTTAATGTTGGTTAAAAGTTACAGTTTGAAAATCTTGCAAATTAGCCACGTGTCTGTCGCTCTCAAACTGAAAACCATGACATGAAGCGTGAATTTAGGGACAATCTTTTCAACATAGGCGCAAGTCACTCTATCCATTCGCATGTGATTTTTTCTTGTTTGTCATAATTATGTAATCAACTTGTGCATTTGCACATAAAAGAATACTTTAAAAAGATAACAATATAAAAAATTACCATTTTCGTTATGCTAATATATCCGGTCATATTCATGAGTGAGTGTGACTTAAAATTTAAGTACAATTTTGTAACTCCGTTGATTGATTTATGCTCATAATTTATGGCATTCAAACAAATTATTTTACAACTTAAAAATGAAATTGAATGTTGAAAATTTTGGAAGGATAATAAAATTTAATGCATGATAATATAATTAAATGTTATGTTGTTCCTCTTTTTATATATATATATAGATAATCCCCATAGTTCCCCAAATTTCAAATCATACAAGTAGGGGAGGAGGCACATACAACTTCTCCCGGGCTAGCCCACGAGGACTTAGAATTTTGTGGTATATATATAATATACTAGTGGGCTGATCCGAGTTTAGTCTATAATTGTGAAATATTAATTTTTGTTTTGTTGGACCCAAAAATTGCTAGTCAAAATATGTGTCTAACCTTATATATATTTAGTCCACTCGAAGTTTGAGTATTTGGTAACCCGCACAGTCGAACCCAATTTAAACAATCAAGACTCAGCATACCATTTATTCAAGAATGTTCAATATTTTAATGTAACTAAAAATATATTAATAGGCTAGAACAACGCTGGAGAAGTACCAAATTTATCAAACTTGTTCTCATTTGAGAATGTTGACGATGTAGACCTCGCCCTTGAGAGAAGCATACAGATTTTTAGGTTAAATCCCATGAAAATCTCATTGCAAAATAAAAGAGTAGGCAAGAAACAGTACATTATCGCATGTTATTTGTAGAGCATATCTTCTGGCTCCTCTGTCCATTGTGTGACTTGCAAAAGAACACCAAAAAAAAAAAACATTTCCTCTAAAATTTAAAGAAAAATAAACAATAGTAATTAAGAATTGATAAATAAAAAAAAATCAAAGATTTGTTTAAAATCTAAAGAATAGACAAAGGTTAGTCGGCAGATTCACATGTTGCCCCTTAAATCTTTTGCACTCAGACTGGGTAAAAAAGCCCTAGTCATTTTTGTGGGTTCCTTATTCGATTAGCATTTGAGGCATGCTTGTCTAACCTTTTATGGATTAAGAAGAATCAACTAAAATCAAATGGAGTGAGCGAAAATATTCACACCATACATGAACTGAAAGAAATTATGGATCCAAAAATCAAAATAAAGAAAAGAGAACTTGACAATTCTAAAAAGTTACACACATAAGTATGACCGCATCCTCACCATCCACCATCTCACCTTCGCGCAAAATTGAAATGCGAGTTGTACGTGAGCTCGTCTAATTCTATCCCATCATAAATCATACCAGAGATGAGGCATCAATATCAAAAGCAATTACACATCAAGAAATGATAAATCTGTCAAAGCTCAGCTATACAGAAGAAAAAATTTTACTAACTTTAAAATATCGTTTAGATACAAACCAGTTGGTCGACTTTAAGGAAAAATACTTCATGCCACTACACAAATTCAACATCTGAAGATTTAGAGTCGTCTGATCTAGTGCCACGACTCACGTGCAAATTGTTGATTTAGGTGTGATGGTGTGATTGGCTAGGGTGCTCTGATCATCATAAATGCGAATTCCAATTGTACTGACGGGAGTCCAAGTCGCACTCTTCCAGCTTCAAGAGCTGCAAATTCAAGGAGAGTACAAAGATGTAGGACAAGAAACATTAACACTGATATTATCAACAATCAAAAAGTTCACATTAATAACTTTGAAAAGATACTGTTTTTCACAACATACAAATAGTTTCCTGTTTCCCACCTTATACTTGTAATTTAAGCAGCATTAAGCAAGGTATTAACACGGTTAACTCGTAAATATCACCATTTATTATCCATCGTTAATATTACAAAAATGATTAGCTTCATTTTTTATTTCTCCAGACATAAGGAATAATCACTTCACACAACACAACATGACTTTTTAGTGTAATTTGACATAATACTCAAATAATGTCTTCGTGAAAACAGAAACAATAGTGTAACGATAGATACATCTGATTATATGTTCAGTCATATTTATAACTGGGATTCAGATTTATCACCCAAAGAATGATAAATTTATCTGTAAAAAACTGACTTACTACAATCTAAAAAATGCAATAACTGCACTGCAGTTACCAAGGCCACAACGTCCACATCCCTACATTTCAATATATATCGTTGAGTCCATGGCACACAAGCCAATCCAAAGATTCATGGGAAGTCACTAATTTCCATAAACATAACTAATAAAACGAAATATTCAGAACACAGATCAGAACACTTGGGAGGCTTATCTAACTACAACTTTGCCAATGGTTCGGAAAACACAGATCCACAGGAACTGAAGAGAAGCATACCTTGTCTATAAGCTCCCTCTGAGGTGGATATATTCATCAAAAGTCAGGGCCATATCATTGGCTGGACCCACTCTCTCTGTGCTTTTGAGGCTCTGTCAATTTCATGTGTGCTGGGAGTCTCATTCCTCTCTGCATAGAAACTTCCAAAAGTATTGGATGAGGTGTCGTATCCGGTGGCTGAGTTGGCTTCCTCAGTCGGGTTCGCATCCTCCTCGAGTGGGGAACTCACCTGTTACAGGAATTGAAAAAAGTAAAATAAAATGATAAAGGAACATCAATTACCAATGCTATTTGAGAGCTAGATTATTGCTATGCATCACAGATTCATTGTCATATAGATCCATCAGAAATGCCTATAACAAATTCCCCTATGTATGCTTCATAAGTGTACTAATAATTGATAGCTTCTGAATTAGTGTTTCTTTTTAGGTGCACTTTTTACAACTCATTCTCGAACTTGCAGGATTATAATATAGGTCAAGATTTATTAGGAAAATACCAAACAAACAGAACGAAAAATCATTAGAAATAAATGATATATTAAGACAGGTACCTTTATTCTAAGGTCCTGGTTATGGTGACTGAAAAAAGCCTGCAAAGCACCAATTACGTAGCAGAGATTTCCAAACTTCTTATATTTTGATGCACAATAACCAGCCTTTGCACTCCTGCAAAGGTTAATATAACCATCAACCATAAGTAAATATTTATTTTCCTATCACAAACATATTTCTACACATTCTCGAGAAATATATGCTTACAAATGAATATCAGCAACATCAACAAAATAGTGTGGTTCTCCGCTTTCTCCAGTAATAACTCCAACATCAATGCGAGATCTAAGCCCGAAAGTAATGCATCAGTAGGGTTGCATTCTATGAACAGGTCAAAAATCTAACAGACAAGTCCTATAAAAGGAGAGGCACAAGTAGATTACCTTTAGAAATACGTTCAATGACGTCACAAGGATCGTTATTCCTGAGACAACCAAAGCAGGGATATAGTCTGCTTTAAAAAAATGAGTAAAGGAAATTGCAAGTAATCCTCATTCACGAAAACCAGAACCAGTATAATCACCCGCCCCTAGTCTCGCTTAGAAGCACATAGATCTCGATTAGGGTTTTGACGCTGATTTGGGGGCCAAATAAAAAAGCAATCATTTCTCATCCCCAAATCATTGAAAACCAAAATATCAGTAAATATAGACCCATAGGTAGATGCAAACCAGTCAAAAATCACAGATGATAAACCCTACAAAAATCAACAAATATACCTTTAAAGAAAAAGTCGTCCAATTTGAGCCGAAAGCTGGAAGATCGCGATTGGTTTCGCGGCGGCGGTGCCGGTTTCCTTCTCCGGTTGGCTGTCGAGTTAGAGTGGATGGTCAGATATGTATATATTTAACATAAGAGGATGTTATATAGGAAGTTCTAAAAAATACTAATATAGCTAGAAATACTGACACTTCTTACCCGATAACATATCTCATCATCTACTACTCTCATAGTCTCTAACACCCTGCAAGTACTGACAGTAAAGTTAGGCAATGCATTAACAACAGAAAATTATTTTCATGCAAATATGTATGTGCGCGTGTGTGTATAATTAACAAATATAGATATATTATAACAAACAATTCTTTTTCTTCATTTCTAAAGACATAGTCACACCTCTTAAATTGAAAATTGCAGCTGAGACCACAAGCCATGGAATCACGAACATCGTAATCAAATCTGCAGACAGATTGTAATTATTATTTCTAGCAATTGAAATCTCCAGTTTTATGCTATCTAACTACATGAAATTCATTGACGATTGACTATTGAGACAGAAAATATACTTGTAAACATCAATTACATTGCGCTCATTAGCAACAATGTCATACAAGAAAAGCTTTTCTTTGGAGCTCTAAACAATGAAAAGCAAATTCGGTTGCTAAAATACTCACCAGAAATTAGACGTTCCAAGAATATCAAAACATTAGGATAGACTGGTAAAGCCTAAATTAATTGATCTATAACTACACATGAATATAACGTTGCGAACTCAATTAAATGAAGGTAGAACCATCAAGTTTGACTGAAAGGCTGCGCATAAACATGATTCAAAAATCATGACTGAAAGGTAAAATCATGATATAGAACTAAATTAATTGGTACCATAACTTCACGATTGATAAGAAACTTAAAGCAGCCTGAGTGTCTCCCTATAATCAAACAAATAATTGTACACACTACTTACTATACTGGGATCCAGAAAATAAGAAAACACAAATCCCAAAACACACCAGCACCTAGATGCTTAGAGCCAAAATCAACATGTGAATCCACATATCAATAATAAGTTTCCCTAATTCTTCCAGCACCTAACAAGGATGCAATATTTAAGACACAGGGGCACGTATCCATACCGCTATAAATGAATACCTGGGGATCTTCTGTAAGGTAGGTGTGCTTCATGGCGAGGTCCAGAGCGTGTTTGAGGCGCTGATTCCTTGCATCGACGATCTGTCTAGGTAGCCTATTCAGCACCGCCTTTACATCCAGATCGTACATTGGGTCGTACAGATCATCATATCGAAGAGCTGGTTTGCCAAATCACGATATGTAAGAGAAAAAAGGTCAAATAACACGACACCGGCAGAGAACAATCATTTTCAATCTATACCCGAAAAGAAAAAGTATCATATTTCTTGAGGCGATTGGACAACGTTTTCATGTGAAGAGCGGCGAGGGGATTGCGGTGCAGGTCGACCACCCATTTCATGATAGGAGACGTAATTAAGGACTCTGTATTCGAAACTCTTGAGAAAATCTCTCTGGAACTCTCTTCTCGGTAAAAGACTACTTTTTGATCTGTTAAATTTACGGAACACTACTCAGTTAAATGTTTGTGAAAACTCAAAAGCGTGCTTTTCAATTCGTAGGTGCTGAAAACAACATAGAACATATAATCAAATATTTTATCCCCCAAAGATTTAAAGGCCAAATCGATTTAGGAGCGACAACAGCAGCAGTTGCTGCACCGTCACTGCCGTCGTGGCAGTCGCCCCCATCGGGTCAGCGGCTCCCCGTAATTAATGAACAAAATTGCCCTCTTTCTAGGTGCAAATAGAATGAAGAAGAAACAATGAAATTGAGCCGCTAGAGCTGCACTTGGAGACACTCTCATATCTTAAACCTTATTTGGTAACACAGATGATGCTAAAAAGATCATAAATTGCTGGAGATTTCAACACAAGAAATAGGTAGACAGAGAAAGATTTGGAATTTTGGGGTTTATGAGAGCAGACCCGACATCAGCGACACGCTTAGGCCCCGAGCTTATCGTTCTCTTGCCCGATGATCGATTTCTCGTCCTCCTCATCTACCTGCGACAACATCAAAGCGGAAACCAAACCTTACTTTAAATTGCGAACCCAAACAATCGAATTTAGACCCGGAAAAATTACGTAGAAGAAATAGAAAGCTGAAAAATTAAAAACTCGTAGAAGAATAGAGGCACAGGAGCAGCTCGCCTCGTAGGTCTCGCTGCCTTGTCGCCGTCGCTGTTGCAGCTGCTCCTTGCAATGTAGTCTGCCGATTGCCGTCCATCGCCTCTGCCGGTAGAGTTTTTTTGCTTTCAAAATTTTGGATTTGGGGCTGGGTGGAGTTGGTAGATGAGGTTTTGCACCTCAATCACTGAAACAATTTTAAAAATTGAATCAGTAAAACAACAATAAAAACCACAATCATACGCAAGAACAAAAAAACGTACACACACTTTCGGCGGATTGCGCCCAATTCACGGATATCACATCGGCCAGTCACCGAAATCGCACGGTGCACCAGATTCTGCGGTCGTTTAGACGGCCCAAAATAAAGAACGTGCGACTTGGCGTATAGCAGCACGAACTGGCAATAAGAAATGACCTAACTAACCCCTAAAAGAAGTAAGATAAAGGGTCATTGAGTCAACCCAAAAAGATATTATTGTGGCGATGAACGACGCCGTTTCAGCATCTGAGATGCAAAAAAAAAATTAAACAAAAAAATGGTAAAAACCGGCACAAATTGGGATAGATGTTAAAAAGAGACAAAAGAAAGGACATTTTCGTCCAAAAAAAATGAGGGATACATTGACTAAATCAGCCACATTAATAGCTGGGATTAAGGGCTTTGTAAAGGAAAAAAATGGGGGCAATACGGTCAAAAAAAAGAAATGGGGAGTCACCTTATAACTATAAACAATTGTCTCATATAGACATGGCCAAAAGGCTGTAGTTTCTGAAGTAGCTTTGGTGAAAGGAAACGGGCCCGGCCCAGCCCGACGAGTTGAAGGGTTGGGTTACTTCGGCCCTGAACTGGCAGATTTGGGCCTGCCCAAAAAAAATGAAAATAATGTGTTTTTTCCCTGTAGATCCGGACCTGACCTGGACTTAGCCCGGCCTCAATGGGTTTGACGGGCTGGATTCGAGTCGGACCGGCGGGCCAGGTGGCCCGTGGCCACGTCTATATATATATATATATAGACACACATATGTAATTAAAATTGAAATTGAATAATGTTTATAATGTTAGTCTAATTAATTAAAATATATGCGTAATCCATTAAATAAATTATCGAACCATTTTAAATTTAAATAACACTACAAGAAAAAATGAAATTCCAACAGAAATATATCTAAATAGAATATCAACGGCAATTTCAATTGTTATTTTTCAATGCTATTATTTCCGTTGGAATTTTCCAATGGATTTCAACGGAAATTCCAACAAAAATATTTCGTTGGAATGAATTTTTCATTGAAATTTTCGTTGGATTTTGACGATTTCAACGGTAGATTTTTCAACGGGATGGAAATAAAAATTCTAGCGGAAATTTCTACGGTAAAAATCCGGTGGAAATATAGCCATTGGAAACATTAAATTCCATCTAAAATTCCAATGAAAAACACATTCCAACAGAATATTTTTGTTGGAATTTTCATTGTAATTTTTATTGGAATATCTGTTGAAATTTTCACTGAAATAAATTACCATAGGATTTGATGTTGGAATATAACAATTACAATTTTTTTTGTAGTGTAACCATCTCATAGAATCCATTTTGACTGATTTTATCTTGATAAAATTAAATAATTAATTAAAATTTGAGAATAATTGTTCAACAAGTTAAATTTGTTCTTAATAAGTGTTCCTTTTCTCTCTTTTCTCTCTAGTTTCGAATCGAAAAAATCATTTTTTATTTTCTTTTTCTAATAAAAGTAGTGAAGCTACGCTCCTGCACAACTTTTACTAATGTTGCCCGTTTGAATAAAATGAGCCTACTTAAGATGTGTAAGTTGCGGGGCCCAACTTGACCCATTTTACTCCATATATTACCAGCCCAAAAGATATAAGTAATAAATGTAATAAAAGAAATTCCATTAAAATATAGGAACATATTCAAAAGGAAGTTACACATAAAACAATCATAAAAATAAATTCCATTAAAATATTGGAACATATTGAATTCCACAAATATGACAAAAGGAATTTACAAATAAAACAATCCATTCAAAATTTAAATCAATAAACTGCTTTATCTCTCTTCCTCATTTTTTTTATTAAATAACCAGCCGTTCAAATGAGCTATTTAGGATGAAAGTGACTAACTGGTATCGATTATAGCCGGGTTTTAACGAAATAGAATGTCCCAAATTACCTCAACGCAGTATCTGTATGGAGCTTGACCTATTTTGGGTTTTCAATTGTTCTTGGCTTTGGTGTCCATGCAGATCAAGTTGGACTAGGCTTCTAGTCTGAAATATAAAAGCAATACATACCAATAAACATTAGGGTCATTTACACATATTGTTAAATCATATTTTTGATTAATTTTTTATTTTGCTTTTCTGATTTATTTTTGTATATAATATATCAGTTTTTATATTTGGTAGAATTTTATTGTTATATTGTTTTCCTTTTATTATTTGGTTTCCTTCTCTTGATAGGTTTTCTACTTGGAAATTAAGAGATAAGGAGAAAGATATATATCTTGTACATAAAAAGAGACCAAAGAGAAAAAGGAAACAGATCATATAAATATTACGAAGGAGCGGCGTGAATCAGAGGGCTTGAGCGTGGGATTGCGATAATATATTTTCTGACCGTGGAATAGAAGCAGGGCGTGGAGTTCCAAAGAAAAAGGGTTGCAGTATTTTGTTCTTTTTCATTCTCGTGAGGAGCAGCACATGATTTGCAAGGATATAGCATAAAGTTCTTTTCTCGATTTTCTTGCGGAATTAAGTGCTGAGGGCGTGCATCATTGAGAGGAAGAAGACTAGCAACACATCTTTTGGAGAGAATTCATATCACTCTTCGGATTATTTTGTTATTCGCTTTTTATAGTTTGATTTGATTAAGAGCATCTCGTTTGAACTCGCGATTTTTTTTTTTGGTTATTCACTAGATGTTTTTGGATTGGATGAAAAATTTTGTGATTAATTTGTTCTAGTGAAATTTTGGCATGTGACCTTAGTCTACAAGTATTTTAACTTGTAGACTAAATTTTGAATCTTTCGTGTTTATTTATTTTCCGCTGCGTATTTTAATTTTGATCTTTGTGTGAAAATTTGGAGTTTTCGGTACCTAAAATTCTAACACATATACTACACGATTCAACAAAAATTGCAACTCTACCATCCCACTAATATTAATTGTGTGTTTACCTAAAACATTAGATTTAATTAGATTAATTCCTACTGTCAGTTACCATCAACGTCCCCCTTAATTTGCGCTTGATTAATATTCCAACGTCCCCTTAATTTGCGCTTGATTATTGTTTCACCTTATTGAAAAAAAAGACAAAATTAACATCCAAAAACCTGGAAAATATGCATTCAGAAAGTTTATTGTGAATTTGAATCCAAAAATAGGTTGATTGAAAATCTGAAAAAATGTATATATTTAGTTTATATAACGTATATATTACACATATGAACTGTATATGTTTAGTTTATTTAACGTATATATTTTTATATATAATGTTTACACATACGAAACTGTATATGTTTAGTTTATATAACGTATATATTATCATCCACTAAAATTAGTTGCATGCTGACGACGGAAAAATATTTGGAGAAATCTACAGAGGAGGATAAGGATGAGGACGGAGCTTCCAAAGATGCTAAAATCTCCGAATTTGCTCCCTTCAAGGAGAAAACCAACAAGGCCGACGAATTAATCAACCCGGAGAAAATGGCACTAGACGAATTCAAGGTTCTGATCCAAAGGCGCTCAGCAAGCGCGAGTTCTCCGCGGCCGCCTCCTGGAAGCCCAGGCCCCAGCTCCGTTTCAAGTCCCAATCGCTTTTCACTATGTTTTTTTTTTGCAGATGATGAACAAAAACGAAAAGGGATTTTTCTCTTTCGTTGATTTTTGATTTCCATCAATCGAAATTAAATTAAAGATTCGACCTTTATATATATGTGTATGTGAATGAGAAGAAAAAATAGAGCCAGATCGAGAGGTAATTGGTCGGAACAAGAAGAAGAAGAAGAAAAGAGAGAGAGAGAGAGAGAGAGAGAGAGAGAGAGAGAGAAAGAGAGATTGCGTGAGATGGAGAATAAATACCATTAAATTTGGAAGGTGATAAGTCTCCTTTAATTATGGTGACTTCATTATCTGGTAATATTGCAATTATAAAGGTGAGATCTTGTATATTTGTTAATATTTGCAATGAGATTTTATTTATGTAATTAAAATTGATATATATTGTATAGTGTGCAATTTTCTCTAAACATTATCTAGCCAAGACATGGCCACGGGTCACCGGCCCAAATTTTAGTCGGGCCAGATTAGATCGGTCATTTTGACCATCTCGAAAAAAATCAACGATTTTTTCTTTTTAGGACGGGTCTCGAATCCGAGTTGTGTACCCGGTCCGTACCTAGGTACAAGCCAATTTAGAGTCCGTGATTTTTAACCGGCGACCCGCCAAGTCGAGTGCCCGAGCTCTATCCACAATTTGGCCATGTCTACTCTGGCTCACTATAGACACGACTTAACAAGTTGATATGACATGAGGCTAGCATACCAATACTAGGTAAAGAAAATGATTTTCTGTTTCAGAATTATGTTTCAAATTCATATTTAATTGAATTGGATGATTGACACGTGTATAATTGTGGACATGTGTTATTCATCAAACTCGTGAAACATATCATACATACGCGTTATTCATCCTGTTGACAAATATGAAATAATACGTGATTTTGAAATACGAAATCTCATTTTGAAATATGATATTTATCTATATTTTTGCTATGAAGTCAACAATTGGCTCCATAGTGGAGTTAACCTTCTATATATAATAAGTAAATCATATCATGTTAATTGGAATAAGTTTGGCAGCGGATCGCGAAATCTTCTCTGAATACTTAAATAAATACTAATAATTTTATTAACATGGTATAATTTACTTGTTATATATAGAAAGTTGGCTCCACTGTGGAGTCAACTGTGGGTTTTACAGCAAAACCGATCAATCGAACATTTTAAAACATGATTGGTGAACACATCTCACGGTGGACATGTAAAATTGTGGGCAAATATGATTGGTTTGGTGATGAACCACAAAAGAATCAACTCACAATTTGCTCTTCATCAAATCATTAACAATTAGCCCAAAAACAATGAGCTCCCCACGTATCTCATCTCTTCATTAATTTCCCATTTTCACAAAAATAGAAAATAGAAAAAACAATACAGACCAAGAAAAAAAAAACCCCAAATTCCTTAAATCCCTAAATTCTCACCTGAAGAATTCACACAACAGAAAACCCGTTTGATTTTTCATCAAAAAAATTTCAGCTACCTTTCTTCAACCTCACACACGCATTTGAGTACGGCAAAGAAGAGCGTTGCAGAGCCCAAACGACGTGGTTCTGAGATGCTGGATTTCATATGACTTCAGCTGCACGTGAAGGAATCAAGGCCACCGGCGATGCCCTTAACCGTTCTGAGGCTCCGAAGCCCTAACCCTAATTCCCCAAGATGTCGTCTTCCCCTGAGAAACTCCCGGCTTTCAACTCGGGCAAGACGAAGAAGAAGGCTTGGAGCTGGCCGGAACCCGTTTCTAGCGGCGACCATGGCCCGACCGAGTCGTTGAAGCATGCCGTGCTGAAGATGCGCCTCCAGCCCATTTCCAAGTCCGGGTCGACCACCCCCCACTCGGAGTCTGAGCCCGAGTCCGACTCGTCAAGCTTCAACCCGCCCACCGCCGCCCCTGATTACATCTCCTTGCTCTCCGATGAATTGCTGCTGAGGGTCTTTGGTAAAATCCCAGACACCAAGCAGCACGTTTCGAATTGCTTAGTCTGCAGAAGGTGGTGTTTGCTCTGCGGGAAATTGGTTCGATCGGTCAGGTTGTTGGACTGGGAGTTTCTCGACTCGGGAAGGTTGACTTTCCGGTTCCCCAATTTGTTCGACATTGATATTGTGCCGGCCTGCATCAAATCCGAGAGGAATTCAGGGGTTTTGCTGAGCACAAAATTGTTGGGGGTTTACGTGAATTCGTCTGTGTTGGAGTGCAATGGCTTTTTCGTCCGAAAACGGGATGTATTGGATTGTGCGGATGTTGATGGTGGGTTGAGGATATTGTCCAAAGGGGTTAGAAATTTGAGACGGGCAGCCTTGATTAATTTTACAGAGGAAGGTCTGAGTTGTTTGGCCGAGGAGTGTGAGCTTTTGCAGGAGTTGGAATTGCATTGCTGTGGTGATTTTGCTTTGAAGGGTATTCATAAGTGCCGCAATCTGCAGGTATTGAACTTGATCGGGAGATTAAACGGGGTTTATGATTCGACGATTACGGATATTGGGTTGACAATCTTGGCTCAAGAGTGTAGGCGGTTAGTGAAGCTCGAGTTGGTGGGTTGCGAGGGGAGTTATGACGGGATTAAAGCGATTGGTGTGTGTTGCCCGATGCTCGAGGAGCTGACACTTGGCGATCATAGAATGGAGGGCGGGTGGTTGTCGGCCCTTTCTTTTTGTGGGAATTTGAAAACTTTAAGAATACAGTCGTGCAGATTTTTTGACAAGAACCCGGGCCCAGACGAGCATATAGGGTTTAGCCCGATGCTCGAGGAGTTGCATTTGAGTCGGTGTCAAATGCGGGACAAAGGGGGCATTTGGGCTTTGTTTTTGGCGTGCCGGATTATTAGGGAGCTGATTATCGAGGACTGTTGGGGTCTGGATAATAATATATTTTCTGCTGCAACTGTTTTTAGGTATGAAGCTATGATTCTAGATTTTGTGTGCTTTATAACCATGGAGACTGGGTTTTGGTTATTCTTGTTAATTATCGTAAAGTTATGACTTCTTTCGGATACAAAGGTTTGGAAGTTTGAGTTTCGAATGTTTGATGTGAGCTACAGATATTCGGTTTTGTAATTGATTATGATATGAGCTAGCACAGTATTAAAATTATTAATTCATCTAGTGCCATTGATAAAAAAAAAAAAAAAAATTGTAGAATTCTATATCTGCTCGCATTCGTAAGGAAATCAAAGTTGAGGGTCCCATTCCTGTAGGTAATATAGCAATTGTTACTTGACAAATCTATATATACCTCATGGGGAACAGATCTTTATGTCAATTTGGATTATTACAGTTCTTTACAGGACAATTATTGATAATCCTGATGTTTAGGTGAGTTTTGTCCTCTCATCTGTTATTGCATATCATGGTTGATGTATTTTGCACAAGACGTGCAATTAATCATTTCATGAGCTTTTGTAGAAACTATATTAGTCTGGCTCCACATTGTTGGTTCTATTATTGCACCATGCACTTTTACTGTAATGGATATAAAAATCTTTTAATGAAAAGTGGTTGAATAACATGAATGAACTGATTGTTTGACATTCAAGAAATTAACGAGTTTCCTTTCTTTCTTTTTTTTTTTTTGGTATTTTGCTTTATAGGGGCATAAAGTCTCTTTCGCTTGAAAGATGCTCGTTGCTAACAACAGAAGGATTAGAATTAGTGGTTCTTTCTTTGAAGGATCTCCGTAGGCTTAAAGTCATCTCGTGTAACAATGTTAGGGACAGTGAAATAACACCGGAATTGGCCCNCAACAAAACAAAACTGTTCTATTTTCCTTTTTCCATTGATTTTCTTGTAATAAACTTCATTTTATGTATTATTTAATTTTTCATCTTGTAATTGTTGATTATTGTTTTTGTAAGTTATTACTGAATGCGTATTTATTATTTGTACTTGCTTGGGACTAAAAAGCTATGTTGTTGTTGTATTTATTATTTGAGCGAAGGTATATGAGCAAAATGATATGCAGGATAGTTGGGAGAAAGTTTATGGAGAGCTTACTGGAGTGTTTGGATGAAAGATGCATGGTTCTCAGCGTATACTGCAAATTTAATGGTTAAAAAAATCATAATTTTTCTCTGAAAAAATAATATGTATAAAAAATATGACTATTCATAATATAAGTATTATATTTTTATTAGGAATAAATGATAGGTCGATTCACTTAAGCTTTGGGAAAAAAACGAGTGTTACAAAATGATATAGCTTGTTTAGGTCTCTGTACCATGGTAAATTGTAAATTGGACTAAATTTAAACAAAAGTTTTGAAATATGTATTTATGGATTGAATAATCTTATCGTGGACAATTATTTAACAACTAAATAAGATAATTACTATTACCTAATAGCCTTTAACTGTTAGATACGACTTTTTTTTTTTAATTAAAAATTTTGTTTGTTTCTTGTACTCATGCCGCACATTCTTTTTTAAGAAAAAGACTAATTAATTTTATTATTCTACAAATAATTATTAGTTATATTCTAATACTGTTAAATAATGTAATACTGTGCTGACCAAAATCAATTTTGATGGAGCAACGCCTCCGAATTCAAGCAGGACGAGGTACTGAACATACATGTTCTCTTTTAAATACAACAGAGAAAAATAAATAAAAAAAAAAAACAAACTGTCGAGCACATTTTATTGATCTAAGCAAATTAATCGAGCTGCAAATCGAAAACCTAGAAAAAAATCCCAAATCGATTGATTCGCTTGTTCTCAATTACAGGAGATTAAGGTGAGCTTCTGATTTTCTCTAGCTCATTTTTCTTTGATTTTGCATCTTTCATCTTTCGATTTGCTCGGTGGATGTACATTTTTTTCCTTTTTTTTTTCGGTGGATTTTACGTTTTAGTCAGTGATTGGATGGATTCTTAAATGCCGACGTGCTGTTTCTGTTGAATTTTTTATTTAACCACTCGATCCGATTATTTGATTTTGTAATTAAAACTATTTTGTTGGTCCGAGAATGAGACCTGGAAGTTTGTCCCCGGATGAATCCCGGTTATTATTCTTGTTTTCCAGTTGTGATCTAAATTGAGGAAAATTCGATTCTAACGGCTGACCTCAGCAGGTTTTGTTACTGTTGGATCACAAACTCACGTACCCACATTGGTGTGTTGATCTAACGGTGAAAAACCCCATGAGAACAGCTGCTAGGATCGAATTTTCTACCAAATTGGTAGGATATGATTTAGTGGCTATACATTCTTTGAGATTTACAATTCATCATTAGTCCGTCTGCATAGCTTACAGCTTAAATATATCAACTTGCATCACATATGGCGTAAATTAGATTGAATAGTGGTAGAACTTTCAAGATATTCATGCATATGTTAGTTTGTTGATTCCTGGTTGTTTTAATGTAGCTGTTCCAAACATTCTCTGATTAGTATAGTGAAAGTTGATAACTTTCTCTAAGTTATAGATAAATTTCTCCATAGTTTGTCGTTTGTAAGTTAGTGGTAGACTTCCAACAACCCTTTTTAACATACTGGAAACGGGATCAGTAAGTTCTTTGTAAACGGAAGCTTCGTCGATGTTTTTCATTATATAGCCACAGCTTGTTATCCACTTGGCTTTCCCTCTTGTGTGGGCTAAGGGACAATTTTTGGCTTGAAATACATATCCATGTTTCCAGTTTTTTAGGCCTGATAAGAATCCAACCGGTTTTTGTTAGTTAAAGTGAGTTATTTTGAATAAAGTTAATTGAGTGGATGATATTGAGTTTGTAATTAAATAATATTTAAAATGTACTGAATACAGTTGAAGTGATGTATAAGGGCACCAATTTAGGCGTTTAAATGGGGCCATCCCGTTCAACACGGATGCAAGACATCCATTTAAATGTGGGGCCCTTTGTCCGTTCAATACATTGAACGGCATTTTTAGCGCCTTTTTTTTGTTTTCATTTAATTATTTAATCAATTTATTTTATATATATATATATATATATATTCAATTCAATTTTATTTATATCACACTTCTCAATATTGATAAATTCAAATTTTATTTATATCACACTTTCCAAATTTAATTCTACTATTTTTTTTCTTGGGTAATCTTAATTTAAGTTATTTTGGTCTTTATTTTTATGCATTTAAAATTTATTATTATAATTTAAAAATATTAAATTTTTATTTTTATTAAAAATAGAATATTAAAATTTATATTGAATGAGTAGATAGTGGGTCCCATATATGTATTCAAATTAGGGGTGTTCATCGGTCGTTTCGGTCGTCCGACCGAAACCGAACTAAAAAAACCGAATTAACCGAATTATTAAATTTCAAAAACCGAACCGACCGAAATAATTCTTTAAAACCGAAGTATAACCGAACCGAATTGTTCGGTCGGTTTGGTCGATTAACCGAATTTTTACAAAAAACAATTTTTTCAGTCAGCACAATGTATATGGAGCACAAATCAATGCATCATAAAACAGAGCTTGATGTAAAATACTCAGTACTATGACTGAAAATACTGAAATGACCGAAAATAATCCAATCAACAAATCCAAATTATACCAAGAACTCAAAATCTAACATTAAATAGTTTAGATCAATTATCATATATAGTTTATTCCACCAACCCTTCTGAACAGATGGAGTAGAGATTTAGCATACACCCACAAGAAATAACGTACTGCTATACACCACTGCAAGCCTGCAAATACATAAAATAAGGAGCTTTTTAATATAATGAGCCAAATTAAAGCACATCAATTTCAGGTGTAACATAAAAAAGAACCACTAAAAAAGCTACTTCTTAAAAAACTAAAGTAGAACATAAAGTGCCCTAAAAAAATCAAACGAACAAGAATTCAAAAATTACAACAAAAGGGAACAAAATTATAGCAGATATAGCAAGTTAGACAAACTCAGCGATGAGATAACGGGATGATTTTTTGCGGAACGGACGATTTGGGGGATGGTGTGGATTGAGGCGATTTAAGGCGGACTGCGGAGGAGCAGCGGCGGTGGAGCAGCGCGGAGAAGCAGCGGCGGTGGAGCAACGCAGAGAAGCAGCGGCGGAGGATTTGGGGACGGCAGCGGAGGAATTGGGGAAGGGAGAGGGTGTCCCCTTTTTTGAAGATGTTGAGGAAATTAGGAAATTAAGTTAGGGTTATTGTATATTTGTACTATTAAAATATTATATTATAATATATATATATATATATATATACGGTTCGGTTATACTTCGGTTTTAAAGAATTATTTCGGTCGGTTCGGTTTTTGAAATTTAATAATTCGGTTTTTGTACTTCGGTTCGGTCGGTCGACCGAAACGACCGATGAACACCCCTAATAACTACTATATATGTTTAAGTGGTAATATTTATATTAAAAAATATAATATTACAATTTGCAATATAAAATTTATATGTAAAGTATTTATATTTCTTATTATTATTATTATTGATATATTTATAAATAAAAAATACCATAAGAAAAATTAAAACATATAATTGTTTTTTCCCACTTGGAAATTGTAATTTACTCCTGACCAGACGCGCCGCTCATTTTCAGGTCAATCTCCGGTGGTGGACTTATGACGGTGAGCTGGGTTTTTTCCATCCAAAAGAACCTCGTCTTCTCTTTCCATTTGCCTCTCTGAATCACTCTCCTCGGAGACAGAAGTATAATTAAAGGTTAAAAAAAGGATGCGGAAGTTATCTTTCGACTACCGCTATCTCCTTCTATTCGTCGTCTTGCCGTTCATCTACATCCAGGTCAAACCCTTTCTGCTGCTATTGATCTACGATTTACTCTGTGCTCTATGTTGTTGTGAATGTGAGAGTGGATTTTGCTGAGATGTGATTGGCCGCATGCTCAGCTTCTTCAATTCTTAAGCTAGATTATATATTGTTATGATTTTAATAATTAGATTCTGATGGAAATCAGATACTTGCATTGCTAGGAGCCAGTCTTTTGCTTTCTAAATTGATATGTGTCGAATGCTTAAGTGAATCGTGCATCAGTTTCTCTCGTGTCCGTTTGTTTGACTAAACTGCCTGGTGCTGCAAAAGTTTTGATAGATTGGTGATACAACTCACTCATGTTCTTGATCCTCAGATGCGCCTTTTTGCTACTCAATCACAATATGCTGATCGGCTTGCGGATGCTGTACGTACTCCATGTTTTTCTTGATCCATACTTTAATATTTGGTTGGATATCATATATTTGTCCGACTTACAGCTTCCTAACAAATAATGCATTTGAGGATATCAAATCTACTTCACCACAGATTGTTTCTGATGTTACTAATTTTGTAGCTGCCAATTGTAGAGAAAACCTACAAACCCAATGCACTCATATAAGTGATTTGCTCGTTTCTGTAGAGAAAACCTAAAAACATCATACTGTATTCATTTCAGATTGAGGCAGAAACCCAATGCACAAGACAGACGCGATTATTGATTGATCAGATCAGCATGCAACAAGGGCGGATTCTTTCTCTTGAAGGTATTTTATTATATCTACTACAATCCTTTAGTAGTAATCATCTTCTCTTCCTTAACATTACTTTTGTACTAATATTTGCAATTTTGCTATTGTAATTGAGGGTTGTAAATATGTTCGCATCACTTATAGGATTTTTCTTATTATAAGATTTGACTGAGAAAGGTTAACGAGGGATCTTGTTGGCGTTTATGGGAAGTGTTTGCATATGCAATACCCTTAATCTCTAGACTCTAGTTTCCCAAGAGAAACAATGAGGCCCATCTCTTTAGCGCAAACTCTTGTTTTCTTACTTCTTACCTAGTATCATCCTGTTTCTTGGATGATGTTAAGAAATCTATTATTCTATCACTTGATGTTGTATCTTTCTTGTAATATATTTTATGGCTGTTGCACTTACAATTATGAATGTGCTGAACTTCAGAAGAAATGAAACGTCAGGAACAAGAATGTAGACAGTTAAGAGTACTTGTTCAGGATCTTCAAGGTATGATTATTTTGCACTTCTCATTCTCATTCATCTTGCATGATATGTTGCAATGCATGTTACATGTTGATTTTTCATTATGTGTCTGCATTTAAACTGCTAGTTATGGGGGGTATATGATACCATTATTGACTTAATCTGAAAGCATAAATCAGCTAAGAAATGAGAAGGACTGGGCTAGGTGAAAGCCGGGGGTAATTAGCAAACTAAACAGTCCAAGATTTGCATGTTAGCGAAGACGTAAATGGGGATAAAGTTAAACCAGTTTCAACTATGATAAAGGGCTGAACATTATAGTAGAACTTCTTAGTTTTGACTGGCTTGGAGAAAGTCATTGTTTGGAACTTATGTAAATCTTTTTTCCTGGGGGGCCTAGCGTGGTATGGTGTTGGAGACAATAGGAACACTTTCAACAAGGCTCGTATACAGACAAATATAGCTAATATAAGAGTTCTAGTTATGACACCCACCGTTTCCCTCCAAACAGAATGTCAATTGAGCAAAGTTATCTTTAAAGCTTCTCGAGGTAATAGTGACAGAAAAATTGGTTTCGTGGATAGTTTAAATATCTTGCACAAGATGCTCTTTAGAACTACAACTGAGTTGCCACCATACCTTTTCTCTTTAGTTGATCCTTGTCTTTGATCAATTACTGCATTATCTTCTGTGCTGCAGGGAAAGGTCTCGCGAAATTGATGGGTGATGTACAAGTTGAGTGGGAAGAAAGATCAAGTTATCTAGTTGCCTATGATATTCTCTTTACTCATATTCATTGAACCTAATACTAAATGAACGATCAGGTTCCTGTAGCTGCAGTTGTAGTGATGGCCTGTAACCGTGCTGATTACCTTGACAAGACTATCAAGTCTATTCTAAAGTATGATGTCTTTGATACATATTTTAGTGTATTTAATTGCACGTATGCATCTCAGCATCTGACAAACCTTTATGCTTATAGATATCAGAGTCCGGTTGCATCAAGATATCCTCTTTTCGTATCACAGGTACCTGAAATAAGATTTCCATTTGCTCTAATTCAGCACTCTTATCATACAGCATTGCTTATTCCCAGAGTGATGATGCCGAGGAGGTGTATTAAGATAAAACTATTCTTCGTTTTGTGCAGGATGGATCAGATCCTCATGTTAAAAGTAAGGCGCTGAGCTATGATCAGCTAACGTACATGCAGGTACTTGCCTTTTGCATTTATGCTGGATGTGTAGCATCGTACAATACTAGCTACCGAGGTGACCCATTTTACGAGACATATTTTTTAATAATCCTTTCACATTCTACCTACAGTTATTACAACTTTTGATTGATTTGCTGAAACATAATTTTGGAATCCCTTGACTGCCTAATTTCTTGTCATAAGATTAGATTCTCTGTTTCCTTGATGAACTATGAGAGTTCTGATACATTGGTAGTATTTAATCAGCATCTGGATTATGAACCTGTACATACAGACAGGCCTGGGGAACTGATCGCATACTACAAGATTGCACGTAAACTTTTCCACTATGTGGTTTCTTGTTCTTAATTGTCTATTATATTGGATGTCATTCTTCTTGCCAGCATAATTTATATGCTTGCCTTTCAGGACATTATAAATGGGCACTTGACCAATTGTTCTACAAGCATAATTTCAGTCGAGTTATCATCCTTGAAGGTGCCTTTACTCTTACTTTGATCGTATCATTTTTGTTTCATTTGCCTCTTTTTCTATTGATTTGACTTAAAGCACTTTAATATTCAGATGATATGGAAATTGCTCCCGATTTCTTTGACTATTTTGAGGCTGGAGCTAAACTCCTCGATCGTGATAAGTGAGATTTTAGACTTTAAGATCTTATTGGCTGTCTGTCCATTTTTTAATTTTGATTAAGTTCCGTCGCTTGTGTTCTTTGTGAATTGGATAGATCCATTATGGCGATATCGTCATGGAATGATAATGGGCAGAGGCAGTTCGTTCATGATCCTTGTAAGTCAACTGTTCCCATGGCAGTGATAAAATCATAAAAGCTGCTACAATGATTGTGCCTAGGTTGAGGCTAGCATATTTCTAGACCTAATGAAGAACTGCCATATATTACTTGTTTTTGGACATGATTCTATCATTCACAATTGATAAATATTAATAATCTTCAATATGTAGATATATTTTACATAAATCAGCAATCATGATATGGTCTTTGGTTGTACTAAAAGTTTAAAGGTTAAAAATTTGCAGTAAAAACTGAAAAGAACCCATTTAGAGTTCCTTTCAGTACAAATGTTCAAATCCTTGAGGTCAATAACATCAGATAGGATAAACTTATATTTTTTTTATTTTTTTTTTCTATCCCGTTTCCATTTAAAGAGAGAAGTCGAGATGCAACTACTCTCCTGTCTACTTGCCTAGTTGTCTCTAGCCCAAATGCAAAAACTGTGTTCTTGAAATCTTTCACCAGATTACTTCTAATAACTGTATTATTTCTGATGTGGTTTCCTTTTTCTAACTCGTTTCCATCTTTCATTATATGTGGATAAGTCCCGTTTGCTGAGTCTGCATCCGATCACCCTTTCTGAAAATTCTCTTTTTTTTTTTTCCTTTTTTTTTCTTTTTGGGTGCTGAGATACACAATTATGCTCTAATTATTACACTGAAATTGATAATGATACCTACTTGACCTTTAGATCTCAGATTTGGGAATTCGTATCTATAACTGTTGGTCAACGTAAATGCAAATAGTCCATACAATGTGATTCATCTGATTTCATAGAGTATCTTGCAGATGTACTTTATCGTTCTGATTTTTTCCCTGGTCTTGGATGGATGATCTCAAGATCCATATGGGATGAACTGTCTCCTAAATGGCCAAAGGCATATCCTTCAATAATCGTATTATATTTGTCACCTCATTGTTGAACATACACAATTTTAAGTTTATATCTGCATATTTGTGATATAAATAAATGTCCTTGTGTATAACCCTTTGTTGCAATCTTGAGAGTTTTTTCTTGACCAAACATTTACTTATTGGGATGACTGGCTGAGACTGAAGGAGAATCACAGAGGAAGACAGTTCATTCGGCCTGAAGTGTGCAGAACATATAATTTTGGGGAGCATGTAAGACTGTCATCCCCCGATTGCTTCTGAATTCTGGGTTTATTATTACTATTATTATTTTTATTTTTATTTTTTTTTCTTGCAGGGTTCGAGTATGGGGCAATTCTTCAAACAATACCTTGAACCTATCAGACTGAATGATGTTCAGGTGTGTAACCAATTTCGCGCTGAGTTAATATCGTTTTGCCTGCTGTTGTCTAAAGGCTCATTCTATGATCTCTCTGGAAGGTTGATTGGAAGTCGATGGATCTGAGCTACCTAGAGGAGGTAAATTTTTATGCTGGGAGCACTAAACAAAGTATAAGAAATAGATGAAAGTAAGAGTAAAAATGTTGTTGCTTAAAAATAATTTGTAAATATGTGTTATTTTAGGACAAGTATGCTGAGCACTTTGCTGGATTGCTTAAGAACTCTACCCCAGTGCATGGGACCGATGCTGTTCTGAAGACAAAAAACATAAAAGGTGATATTCGTATTTTGTACCGAGACCAGTCGGACTTTGAGCGCATTGCGAGTCAGTTTGGTATTTTTGAAGAGTGGAAGGTAACAACTGTTATAGAGTTATTGAGGTGGTTATTGTTTATTTATCGTTCCATTTTAGTCTATTTCAGCCCCCAGTTCCCAGAATAGGTTATTATCCTGTTTTTTGCCTGCCGCACAATTGTAAAGCATTTTCTATTCATTTTTTTCTGATGAAGTACTCGGTTTTGTTTTTGTTTGTTTGTTTGTTTTTTTTTCTCAGGATGGTGTCCCAAGAACAGCATATAAAGGAGTAGTAGTTTTCCGGTATCAGACACAAAAGCGTGTTTTCCTTGTTGGTCTAGATTCGCTCCAGCAACTTGGGATTAGATAAGGCAAGAGAAATTCATTCCATAATCATATCGAAATTCTGTCTGGATGGGGCAATATAGAGCTGTGGTGTTGCCAATGTGCTATAAGCAAGTCCCTCATTGTGAAAGGTTGCTACACGTTAGTTCCAGGCCTGAGCGGCCCCTCTCATCCACCATCTAACCAATATAGATTATGACCACAGGTTCCAGTTTTTTTTAGCTTCACAACATATGATATATCTTGTGATTTGGTACTTCTATATATTTACAAATGAACTGAGCTCGGATTTCAACATTTTACTGCTGATGCTTCAGCAACCCCATAATTCTCTTTATAAGTTTTTATTCTCTGCACATTCTGGTCTGTTGGATCTTTAATATAACACTTGGGAAATCTATTTATGCAGTAATATACATTAAATATTCTTATGCAAATTTGTAATACTTTTAGCATGTGTGTACAATGTCTAATATTCAATTGTAGCCATAGCCAGGTCACGGAAAGAACTAGTCAAACAAATTTTATACAGAACACGACATCAACTATAGTATGAAAATGGTGGTGGTGGTTAATTTAATTACTAAAAATGAATTGGTCCACGGCTGTGTTTGTGTGTGTGTGTTATAGATTCAGCGTAATTTCTGGTTTTGTACTCGTAAACTTTCGTAAATATAAAATATCCTCATTCAATATTCATCCAAACAAGCTTTTGTGGAAAATTGCTTCCCAACTTTTATTCCCATTTACACGTTATCTTTTTAATTAAGGAAAGGAAAAATGAAGGAGCAGTGGGTGTCTGAAGATTATTAAATTATAAAAGTCAACAGTATCTTCCTCCTATTTTCCCTGCAAATAATTAGGTGTGTCAAGGCCTTTGTGAAATACAATTCCTCAAAAGTTGATTTCTTGTAATAAACGTTATTTTATGTATTATTTAATTTCTCATCTTGTAATTGTTGATTATTGTTTTTGTAAGTTATTACTGAATGAGTATTTATTATTTAAGCGAACGTATATGAGCAAAATAATATGCAGGATAGTTGGGAGAAAGTTTATGGAGAGAGCTCACTGGAGCGTTTGGATGAAAAATGCATGGTTCGCACCGTATACTGCAAATTTAATGGTTAAAAAAATCATAATTTTTCTCTGAAAAAATAATATATATAAAAAATATGACTATTCATAATATAAATATATATTTTTATGGGACATTTTCACTTATCCTACACGATTGTAGGAATATTACAAAATTACCATTAATACACAATTAATTGTATATGTACCTAATAGCTAGTAATTAATTATATTGTTGCCTAAAAATCAGTTACAGATCTTGATTCTATATTCCATATTTAAGAAAAGATAACCAATTGGACCTGCTCAACCACCGCCTGAGACCTTCTTGTCTGCTCGTCTCATGTACGTGATCTCGAGTGTATATCTTAGGTATATTTTATGTATATGTAGGTTCTGAAATCGATATTGAGAAACGATTGAAACTCGAGTGTATATTTAAAGTATATTTTGTGTATATTTTGTGTCTGCTCGTCTCATGTACGTGATCTCGAATGTATATCTTAGGTATATTTTATATATATGTGGGTTCTGAAATCGATTTTGAGAAACGATTGAAACTCGAGTGTATATTTAAAGTATATTTTGTGTAACATATACTCGAGTCCGCTCATATTGCAGGGCGGATCAAAATGAGATCAACTTTTTGCTGGAAATCATCAATGGGCAACAATGGGCGGATCAAAAGTTAATCAAACGAAAATAATTCTAAAAAAAAAATCATCAATGGGATCCGTAGAAGGAAAAAATTGGCCCCTCGGCCAAGCCGCTTTTTCTGTTCATTGAAATCACTAAGTCTGGTTGGCTTCTGCACATGAAAGGATTGATTGCTTTTCCCTCTTCCCAACCAGCATGAAGTCTTATTTTGATTGAGCCTTGTAGATAATTAACTAGATAATTAATCCTTCCGTCTTCACTTCTTCTTTTTACCTTTCTTCGCCGCCGGAGTCGAGCCGGCCCTTGCAGTGAGGCCCTTCTTCTTCTTCTTCTTTTTCTTCTTCTTTTTCTTCTCTGTAATGATTTTTCTCTTCTTCGCTTATCATCTGCAAAAATCAATCAGAAATTTTGAGAACGAAGCCTAACGAACAAAAAATAAAAAAAGATTCTATGCGTGAAAACGGGACGGAGGTGTCTAGAGAGAGAGAGGGAGATCCGGCGTGAGTTAGGGTGTATATTTAAACAAAAAACTGGCAGTGCAAATAATTATGGTAATTTTGGTAGGATTGCAAATAAATATATATGAGATGTATATGTGTAATATAAATACTAAGGACTGGTATATGGTGCAAATTTAGAAATATATGATAGGTCGAATCACTTAAGCTTTGGGAAAAAAACGAGTGTTACAAAATGAGTTGTATAGCTTGTTTAGGTCTCTGTACCATGGTAAATTGTAAATTGGACTAAATTTAAACAAAAGTTTTGAAATATGTATTGGTGGTGGATTGTATAATCTTATCGTGGATAATTATTTAAAAACAAAATAAGATAATTACTATTACCTAATAACCTTTAAATGTTAGATACGATTTTTTTTTTTTTCAATTAAAAAAATCATTTGTTTGTTTCTTGTACTCATGCCGCACATTTTTTTTTTCAGAAAAAAAGACTAATTAATTTTATTTATTCTACAAATAATTGTTAGTTATATTCTCTGTTAAATAATGTAATACTGTGCTGACCAAAATCAATTCTGACGGAGCAATATGTTGGCCGCCTTTTCATACGTGGCAATTAATAATTGGTTAAGATTATGTGTCGGTAGCCACGTTGTTTCTCTTTTAAATACAACAGAAAAAACAACTGTCGAGCACATTTTATTGATCTAGCAAATTAATCGAGCTACAAATCGAAAACCTAGAAAAAAAATCCCAAATCGATTCATTCGCTTGTTCTCAATTACAGGAGATTAAGGTGAGCTTCTGATTTTCTCCAGCTCATTTTACTTTGATTTTGCATTTTCATGTTTTTCGATTTCCTCGGTGGATGTACATTTTTTTCCTTTTCTTTCAGTGGATTTTACGTTTTAGTCAGTGATTGGATGGATTCTTAAATGCCGGCGTGCTGTTTCTGATGAATTTTTTATTTTACCACTCGATCCGATTATTTGATTTTGCAATTAAATTATTTTGTTGGTCCGAATATGAGATCTGGAAGTTTGTCCCCGGATGAATCTCGGTTTATTATTCTTGTTTTCCAGTTGTGATCTAAATTGAGGATTGATTCTAACGGCTGACCTCAGCAGGTTTTGTTACTGTTGGATCACAAACTCACATACCCACATTGGTGTTTTGATCTAATGGTGAAAAACCCCGTGAGAACAGCTGCTAGGATTGAATTTTCTTCCAAATTGCTAGGATATGATTTAGTGGCTATACATTCTTTGAGATTTACAATTCATCATTAGTCCGTCTGCATAGCTTACAGCTTAAAGATATCAACTTGCATCACATATGGCGTAAGTTAGATTGAATAGTGGTAGGGCTTCCAAGATATTCATGCATATGTTAGTTTGTTGATTCCTGGTTGTTTTAATGTAGCTGTTCCAAACATTCTCTGATTGATATAGTGAAAGTTGATAAGTTTCTCTAAGTTATAGATAAATTTCCCCATAGTCTGTCGTTTGTAAGTTAGTGGTAGACTTTCAACAACCCTTTTTAACATACTGGAAATGGGATCAGTAAGTTATTTGTAAACGGAAGCTTCGTTGATGTTTTTCATTATAAAGCCACAGCTTATTATCCACTTGGCTTTCCCTCTAGTGTGGGCTGAGTGACAAATTTTGGCTTGAATGCATATCCATGTTTCCAGTTTTTTAGGCGTGATTGGATAAGAATCCAACCGGTTTTGGTTAGTTAAAGTGAGTTATTTTGAATAAAGTTGATTGAGTGGATGATATTGAGTTTGTAATTAAATATTATTTAAAATGCACTGAATAAAGTAGATGTGATAGAATGTTCATATGACGATCACTTGAAATCACTGTTATTGTCACAAATCTTCGAGTTACATGATGACACATTATTTGAAGCTTGAAGTTGTTCGCTGCAGAAATGGCAACTGGTGGAGGAGCTCCGCAGAGAGGAACTGCAGCTGCAGCCGCCGCTAACCTTCGCCGGAGGAGGACAGCTGGCGGTGGTGGGGCGGCAGGTGGCGGTGCAGGTGGGACCATGCTTCAGTTTTACACAGATGATGCACCTGGGCTCAAGATTTCACCAAATGTTGTGCTTGTTATGAGCATTGGTTTTATAGCTTTTGTTGCCATTCTCCATGTTGTGGGCAAGCTCTACTTTGTCCGCAAAGAGTAGTAATGCTTTGTTTCAGGCGAACAGGAGAATGATGCTCTTGTTAGGATATGATTTTTGTGGAGAATATTGTGACTTTTTTTAGTATGTAATGAGATTTTTTGTTAAGATCAAAGTTGAGATTAAAGTACTTGATTTGCTTGCAGGAAGAATTAAGGAAACCTCTTTGTTTAACAAATTTTGTTTCTTGTTTCCTTAATTTTTAATTTTTTACCCTTTCAAGTCTCGAGAGTCGTTCATATGCTATCATCGGATGTTGAACGTGGATGCCATCTTTTATCATTTAAATGTGACATTTTCAGTTCTGGATATCATTCTTTTCCCCAGGCTCAATAACAAAGTTATTTATGATGAACTGTTTTTTGGATATCAAGGTGTAGCATTTTTTATTTTATTTTTGTGTTCCTCTGCGAAAAACAAAATGTCGCAGTTTGAATTAGAGTTGATGATCATGCTTTTATGGCAGCATTTTCCCAGGCTTAGGAGATCCCCTTTCTCATTCTCTGAAAATTAACACAGCAACATTTTCCCAGGTTTGGGAGAAACCCATTTCTCACTGTATACTTGAANAAGAGAAATTTCTACTGTAAAAATAAGCACTCTATTGTTAAATGGGATATACAGTACTACTTAAAAGAGCCGAGCCGAGATCACGAGTGGCTCGTTTTATATAACGGGCTCTACTTATAGTTTGGTTGTAATCACCACAAGTGTCAATCATTTGTCTTGAATAAATAAGCACTCTTGTTGTTAAATGGAATATATACAGATGGTATGAGTATAAAGCACACTAGTCTGGCCCAATCAAGTTAGGACCTGTATTTACAACAAATTAATGTGTCTCAATCATACATTATATCTTACAGCTACAAACAAGTCTAATGCATATTCTCAGCGATTCCACCTGACACAACACTATCATCTACAGGTTTGGGACCTCCACAAGATCTTGAAACAGACTCAAACAGCTTCTCAATCTCCGGTGCACATCTCGTGAAACTCCTACTCCAAAAATTGTACCTCGGATTCTGACACACACACACACAAAGCAAAAAAAATGCATATATTANGAAAAAAAAAAAACCACACACACACACAGACACAGGACAGTCTTTGACATTTAATTGACCTCAAAAATTGGAAGAAAAATTGAAGTTACCTTGATTAGCTCAATAAATGTTATCAAAAGTCCCCAAGGATGAGGTCTGTTTACTATCAGGCGTTCCAGCAGGACCCTCGTGATTTGCTCCTGAATCATTTCCTGCTCAAAATTTTAAAATCGATAGTCGGGTCATTAATCATATACGTACATGAACAAATGAAGGAAAATAAAAACACGATGTCGTGTTGGTTTTAGGAAATTTATTTAGCACAAACGTATAAGAAGTATACGATCATGTACCCATGTACCTGGTTCGACTCAGCAAACAGGTAAAGGAGGATGAAAGAGAAGTAATGGGTATGGTTGTTCGGATAACGTAATTGGTTGGCAACAGCATTCAGGAAAAGGTAGCGGCCCTCGGTGTCGAGATCCATAATCAAAGACTGGAAAATGTCCAAAGCAGCACTCACCAAGAAGGCAGTCATATTTGCCATGGATTGAGAAGGGGCTCTTGCTTGCAGCTGCTGGATAGCCTAGATAGAGTTTAAAGATAGTTAGGGATGCTAAAGGATAAAGCTCAATTTCATTATTATGTGGTTAATACTCATAAATTTTTTATTTTAAAAGACAAAGGGAGTGATTGGATATAAGTTATTTTGGTTTTGATTGGATTTGTTGGATAACCAGACTTAATTTTGAAAAAAGAAAAAAAAATTGATTGGATTAGGTTTGAGTGGGATTTTGAGTTTGTATTAAAATAATTTTAAAATATAATGATGAAAGTTGATTTGAATAGGAGAGAAAGAGAAGTAGGAGAGAGGTGATTGAAAGTGATGAGTAGTTAAAATTATGAGTGGATGAATAGTGAATCAAAGTTGATGTGATGTGTGAGGATGATTGATTGGTATTATTTAATTATATTGATAATATCGAGGGTTGTGTGGAGTTAAATTTGAGTTAGACTTTGAATTAAAAAATATATATATGATCACGATATCCTCTGAACAATCAGAGCCTGAAGGATAAAGCTCAATTTCATTATTATTTGGTTAATACTAATAATTTTTTATTTTAAAAGACTAGGTTTTCTGTAATTAGTATTATATTGAACATACTTCATAAAAAACTGTATTATGGGAAATGACTTACCTGCATACCAACATATAGTACAAGGGAGTTGATCAGAGGGACATTGTAGCGGGTCCCAGCGCGAGCCGCGTCAACTGGAGAAAGCAGTAGCTTCTGTTTTAACTCGGAAAGAAACGATGACCCTTGTTGCCTCGTCTGTAATATAGGCCATACAAGCAAAGGAAAAACAAATCAGGATTGATAATGCAAAGTCACGAAAAACAAAACAAAGCTCTTCAAAATTGATAAATAGTCACTAAAATCTAGACTTTTCTCCTCCCACAAGGTAAAAGGATTTCCTTTATTTCCCCTGCCCAAAGAAAAAATAAATAAATAAATTGGTTTTCATTAATATTCACCTTGAGATACTCGTCCACTTCATTCTTGATCTGCTTCGCTTTTAGCGCGGCATCAACCTCAGGAAGTATTCTAGGCGATTGACTAATCTCCGCCAGCAGATCAATCTAAATTATTACATAAATAAATCAATTACTTTCCAGATTTAAATTTTATAGACCAAGACGTGCGTACATATTTCGAGTCTACGTACCTTTAAGTTGGGAGTTGAAGGATCTGGAAGCCTCATATTACGAGGAAACGCGCTCAAGATTATATTTCGCATCTGTATGCAGCTTGGGGGGATGACATCACAAAAACTGAAATGATAATCACAAAGGAATTCCGGAAAATCATGAAGCAGCACCAACAATACTCTGAGCGTCCCTTTGTACAGAAAGTGAGCCTGAAATCGATTCACAAAATGACAGTAAATTGACTAAATCAGCAGAATAATAATAATAAAAAAAAAAAAAGCATTCAGAAACAAGGAAAATTGCATAAACTAGTTACCGACCGGCTCTCCAAGTTCGGCATTCCTAAGGAATGGCTCCATAAACTGAAACAGGTCTACCAACAATCTCTGGAAATAGGGCCATCCCTTCTGTGCATTTGCCGTCAGTAATTTTGGCATGAAACTTCGGTGACTTACCAATTCTAGCCACGCAAAGCTGAAAGCAAAGAGCAAAGTTGGTCGTTAAAATATTCACGTATGCGTATGATCTGGCAAAAAGAGTAATCATACAGACTCCAGACCCATTATGAGTCAAGTAATCCCCCCCTAGTATTGGAACTGATTGTTCAAAAAAGTTAATAATAAATATAAAAAATGGAGTTATGGTATATTGAATAGGCCGAAATATATTAATAAAAATTTGTACTAGTCAAACACAAACCTGAACCCTGGGACCTTAAGAGGTTGAATTGCATGGAAAGAGTTTGCTACAGCAGTCAACACCTGAAAGGTTTTAAATGGATTCATTGTAAGAAAAGGCAGATAGAAAACTAAAGCAAATACTGAGATGAACCTGTATTCACAAACTGAATATAATATTAAAGATTATATAAAATTATAACGAAATTGCAGCATATACCTGAAAGTTGGCACCATCAAAAACCGGCTCCAAGGAACACAAATCAAGCAGCCAATTAATAAACAATCTAAAATATGGCCTGGGATTGAAGGCTATCTTCTTCTCCTCGGCATCTTTTTGGATAAATTTCACGGTCACAGCAAGCACCTAAAAGAAACATAGACCAAAACGTAATATACTAACCATCAAACAGAAAGGCCATAAGGTTTAGAAATTGAATTCATACCTTGGGCAGAAGAGAGAGCTTATTGGATCCCTGATCGACGGGGCAAAACTGGAAGATCCCAGAATCAGATGATACAAAATTGAAAAGAAGTCAGATGATCTATGGGTAAAAGTTTCTATCGATTTTGAAAA